ATATATAAATATATATATATATGCACATATATACAGTAACGGTAATATACAAAAATATATACATATATATACATAGTAATGTAACATATATAAACATATATATACATATTATAAATTATCTAATAATGGTAACACATATAAACATACATACACATTATATATAGCAAATAATATATAAATATATATACATATATATATAATGGTAATACGATATATAAACATATATATATATATATATGTAAATGTAATATATATATATATATATAGCATATAGTATATATAAATATATATATATATATATATATATATAGTAATGGTAATATATATATATATATATAAAGGCAATAATATATATACACATATATATATATATAATGGTAATAACATATATATATATGTGGTATATATACACATATATATATATAATATATATACATATATAATGGTAACAATATATATATATATATATATATATATATAGTAATGGTAATAACAATATATATATATATATATATATATATATATAATGGTAGATAATATATATATATATATATATATATATATATAGAGCAATATAAATAATATAATAATATATATATATATATATATAATAACATATATATATAGTAATGGTAATAATATATATATATATATATATATATATATATATATATATATATATATAAAGTAAAGGTAATAATATATATATATATATATATATATATATATATATATATATATATATATAGTAAAGGTAATAAATCCAAGTGGATCCTAGTAATATAAAATATTAAAACTTATCTGCAAAAAGAGCTCAATGTATTTATTAAACCATACCATAAAGACAATGAAATGTTAATTCTAACCTCCCCAATACCATTGTGAGACAGGTACCCACCACTGTCGGCACTAGGATTAATTGATTATTGTCCAGCATAAACATCTCTATTAAAAATAAAGAATTATATGAAAAGGCTCTCCATAAAAGTGGTTTTAAATATAAATTATCTAACCTCTATAAGTAACACTGAAATATCCAAAGTGAAATGTAGACATAGAAATAGAAAAAGAAAAATTATGATTCAACACCCACTCCTGCTTCTGCAGTCTGTCAAATATTAATATCAGGCAGTATTTTCTAAACTTAATAAATAAACATTTTCACAAATCTTCAATAGGAAAACAATTAAAATTAGCTATTTCTGCAGCAATAATATTTACAAAATTATCAACTCTCATATTAACTATATTTTAAGTAATTTCTATGGGATAAACAACAAAACTGGTATCAAACCCTCCTTTCATTGTAGAGATAAACTAAGTTGTCCGGTTAAGGGCAAATGAAAATCTACTAAAGTTATATACCAAGCAACCATTTCCCCCAAAGAAAATGTGTTAAATTATAATGTTTACATTGGAATTTCTGTGGGGAATGAAAACAGAGATTTTATGCCCATAGGCACTCTTTTACCAACCCTAAATTAAAACACCAGATAGCTCTTTCAAAAAAATTTGAAGAATTGAAAGAGAAAGGTCTGAAGCTACAGATAGACTGAAAAATTATAGATTCTGCTCATGCTCCTAATAGTCTAAGAGATAGGTGTAACTTGTGTTTAGAAGAAAAAATTAAAATAATAAAATACAATAATGGAAACAAACTATTAAACCAAAGGAATGAATTAGTTTAAAATGTCAACATAAAAACAAATTTAAATTTCTATAATATAGATTTTACTTTATTACCTTATAATTCTCTGACTCTTCTAGTATTTCAATGTGATATGGATGTATGCCCATATTGGTTTCTTACAAATTTGGTGAGCAACAGTTTCTCCTTGTGGGTTTTGTATAACAAATTAGTGAATATGCTATTCAGAGATTCTACAAGAATGTCTAAGAATGGGAGTTTATTATATTATATACTAGCAGTAGAGCCTGACATTGCCCAGGGATGTAACAGTAAGAGATAGATCAAGTATCCACCATCATAAAGACTGAAAACTAAAAATGACAAAGATTATTGTTTAAGGTTGATGGACACGCATGTCTTAATTATTTTGTTTTTTATTTTTAGTTTTTTTTTTACGAATTGGTCAAACTCAAACAAAAACATTGTTTTCAATCGTTATGAGTCTATCGATTGAATAGAATTTTATTTTATTATAAACAATTGTCTTGTAAATGGAATTTTTAAAGCATTCTGAATGTAAAAATAAAGAAAAAAGTGTGCAAAACAATAAGAAATACTACCTGCCAAAAAAAAAGTGAAGTTTTGTTGAAATCGGTTGAAAAATGTAGGAAATTCGATGCCATATATAAACGAACACACACACGCAAACAACCTGGGTTTTATAATAAGTATAACTCGATATGAGTTGTCCCCCTTTCATTTTGGCAACAGAATTGTGTTTTATCGTGTTTTCAAATTGATTTCGTGCAAAAACAATTGTGTTTTTCCAAATTTTGGTGCTGTCAGAACCACCGCAAGGTAATTTTATGCAGTCCTGTGAAGTTTTGTTGATATCGGTTGAAAAATGTAGGAAATCTGATCCAATATATAAACGTACAGACACACACACACAATCTGCGTTTTATAATAAGATATATAAAGAAATATAGTTTTAAGGGGTGCTATATTAATGAGATAAAGTGCTCAATATATATATATATATATATATATATATCTTACATTATTTGCAGATTTTATCAGGTTCATATCAATCCAGGGAATTCTAAACTGAACACTTCATTTAATCTACATGGGGTAGGTTCTATGATAAGTCATTATTTTTTTAACAGTGTAATTTAAGTCTACTGACCAGGACATTTCGATGTCTTGAGAAATAAAATGTGCTTCTCAGTAGGGTTTGAACCTGCCTCCTCTTTATGTTGGAAATACCACTTTTATAAGGTTGGTGTACTTTATTCTGTTCAGCCATGAAAGTCTTCTCAGCAAATCAAGGTTCAATTACCCTCTTAATAAACTGTGCATCTTTTGCTGATACAATTCAAAGCCAATATTTCTTTACTTTCATATCCAAAACATAAATAATGTATTTTCTAAGGGATTAATTTTTTTTTTTATTTATAATCTGACTTTACAATAATAAGAAATAATCTTGGATTATTTTCTGTCTTAAGTTCTGGGATGAGGAGTTATCATTATTTACACTATTTATATTCAGCGTCTAACTCTCCAGTGTTCTTCCTTGTCCAGTATTTTCACTTCATTCCACGGATGCTGAGAACCTTCTTCCTTTCTATACATGTTCAGCCATGCTTGATTTCATTGTCTCAACTCTCACTATAGCTTTTCAATACTGTTCCTGTCCTACTTTTGGGGAGCATCTTCTTTCACCTTTATATTCTCTGCCACAACTGAAAGAATCAGCACATATGGTAGGCTATGAGGAACTCCTTAGTAGGTCAAGCATAGAAATAAATAAAATATGAGAGCTGCTACTAAAGAAAGACAAATGACAGCAAGTCTTCCACCATAGAAGCAGTCAAAACATGATGGCCAGCATCAGCAGTAGCAGGTTAAACAGTAACAGGTTTGGGTTTAAAGCAGTAAGTTAACCCCCAGTAAATTGTCTAACAGAACTATGGTAAAACCCCATTAGAAGATAAAAGCATTGGTTTATGAGTTTTGTGTGAGTTCAATTCCTGGGTTGGGCAGTGTGCACTTGTACTTAGTAGAATAACTAAATAGTATTAATAACATAAGAATCAGAAGGTATCCCTATGAGCAGTGGAATGAGAACTGTTTTCTCATGTAGATTTAATAAAGGGTCTTTAAAGAATTCTCTGTAGATTACCTAGATTGATATACAGCTGAGGAATGCTGGAGGGAACTATGACTGAAACATTGTGATAAAAACAGCAATGATGAGTTTGAATATAAATAGTGAAAATAATAATCTTGGATCTCTATCTATAAAAGGTAGGATATGTGTGTGTGTGTGTGTGTGTGTGTGTGTGTGTGTGTGTGTGTGTGTGTGTGTGTGTGTGTAACAAATGCATGGCCACAATTTTCGACGGATTTGAACCAAAATTTACATGCATATGCTCCAAGTTAGTGGGAAGGCCAAGACCGACTTTGCATTTCCCAACTCCCATCGATAGTGGATATAATCGATTTTTCATGCTTCTAAAGCAGTTTTCATGTAGTTTGCAGCCATTTTCTACTGGCCAGAGTGAGAGCCAATAGTTGGCTGCCACGAATAGGCAGGAAGATTCTATTGGCCAGCGTGAGAGCTAACAGCTGACTGACACGAAATGTTAACTAGCATGCTAGCATGCAAAAAAAAAAAATCGATAGTTGCATTCGTCACAAGTGGGAAAAATTTAAATCTTCATGGCACTTCATGCTCCAATTGGCTCATTCACTTGCTTAAACTCAACATTGATTCTGATTCCACAGAACTGGGTTGGTTGTGAAAAAGTATTTGTTGTTAACATTCTTTTTATCATTCGGTTTTTCCAGTTATGAGTCCTTTTTTAAAGCTGATCATTTTGTGTTCATTTTCTTGAGTTCTTTTTTCATAACAGGTTTATGTTTAGTATAGAGCTTAGAAAAAATTTGCAGTGTGAGATAGGCAAGAAGTAAGGCATGTAGCAGCATCAGCACGGTAAAGGGCACTCCTTTAAAGGCAAGGAAGGGCAAAAATATTTTATGTCAAGTGATAGCAATTGCTGTATGAGTCGTACGATTTTTGAAACAAGCATGAGCAATTCCTGGCCATACTGCTAGTTTTTTTTTTTTACAGCTTATCCCCCTTTTGCAGGTTAAAGCCAAGAATTTGGAGGGGATAATAATGATTTACTTATACAAGTTCTACTAATTAATCCATAGCTGGGGAAGGAGAATAGATAGATTCATATCTTTCCCAAGGGTATTTGTGCATAAGTGAATATAATGAACCTGACTGTAATTTGGAACATAGCTCTTCAATTAACACTTCTGAGCCATTATCCATTACACTACCAGCACATCCAAGCTTACAGCATCTGATATTCCCAAGCAGTCACCCATCTAAGTACTGACCAGGCTCGATATAGCTTAACTTCAGTATCATACGGAAACCAGTGTTTCAACGTGATGCCGTCATAATCTCATTATACCACCCGTGCATTCAAGCTTGCAGCATCTAGTATTCCCAAACAGTCACCCATCTAAGTACTGACCAGGATCAACATTGCTTAATTTCAGTGATCATAAGAGAACCAGTATTTCAACATGATATGGCTATATTCCCATATTGATTCATTCAAAATCATATATATATATATATATATATATATATATATATATATATATATATATATATATTCTTAATGTAAATTGACTATAATGGAGTGTATTTCATGCACATTTACAAAAAAAATTCAGAACTATGAATTACATTATTTTTTTGTCTTAGCAATTCAACCCTGAAGATGATCTTGGATGAGATAGAAAGTACTTAGGAAAATTAAAGAAATAACCAAAACTACGGCATCTTTCTTACTCAGTTTTTTAACAACACTAAATAATTGATCTGTGAATTTGAAAGGATTAAATAAAATACATAGGCATAATATGTCTAGATTATTCTACCAAACATGCTTGAATCAAGATATGCTGCCTATATATATATATATATATAATGTTAATCATGTAACTCAGAGTTTCATGGTTCCCCAACTTGTCAGGTACAAATGGTAAATGGACCACTTAATACAGTTATTTCATTATATATTAAAACATTTTGTCTACTTATTTTCAACAGGATTCTCTCATATTCATGGACAAGCTTCTTAGTATCTTTATTAAGGGAAGAGAAAAATTTACCATGTTGATACATATTCATTTATTCTGAGCACTTTTGCCATTAGCACAATGTTATTATCAGGATGTTTTTTTTTTTTTCTAAAACAAAATTGTTGTGTTCGTCTGAAAGTTTATTTTTTTATCAACATAGTAATTTTCTCTCTTCCTTTAATCAGGATACCAAGAAACTTGTCCATGAATATAAGAGGATCCTATTGAAAATATATATACAAAACTTGTTGAAATTATTCAGTGAGATGCCTTAATAAAAACATGCTCCTAAAATATATGCTATATACCAACCCACTTCCCAAAATTTGAACGAATAACAAATCATTGGAATTTTTTTTAAATCCCTATTTTTCTTACCTCACTTATGTGTGTCTGCAAAAGTTCCAGAATATTTTATTTAAAAAAAAAAAATTTGAAAGCAATTATTTTGATTTGTTTTTTATAATTCTAAACACTTTGCAGTTTATTTAAAGCTGAAACATCTTTTGGACTGTAAAGATAATTTTTTGTGTCTGGGAATATTAACAATTTTTTTTTTTGAGAATAACAATGATTTTTCCAGACACAAGTCTTATTATTTAACCATGGCTTCTTGGGAAAGATAATGGAATCATTTCCTGCTATTTTCTACATGGTTTTGAATTCAAAATAATCTTTACCTTATAGATTCCACCATAAGCTAGAATTCCCTTACTATTTAACCTATAGGTGGGGGGTTACTTTTTGCATGAGTATTTGTATATAAGTGAAGTTAATGAACCTGACTAGAATTCAAACTCAGCTCTCCAAATCCACACCATTATTCTTTACACCACCTGCACATCCTTTTTAACAGCAAAGTCTACAGCAGAAACAGGGACATTTCTGAAAATGACAAGTTTAAGTAATAAGAATTTACCTATAATGGCTTGCAATATTTCAACCCATGATAAGTGTTGTATCACGTCAAATGATCAGTGACTGGGATAGAGAGCAAAGCTGTTGGCCCAGGTAAACACTTCATTACTTACAAGGGGTGGCCATTTGTAATACTGACAAGAAGTTTGTATTTGAGTCAACATGCTAATACAACAATGGTAATATTAACTGTTTCCTTATAAGGAAATATTCAGCATTCACTGACTGAACAGCCAATGTCACTTTGGGTTAAAATTTATAAAATCTTTCTCTTAAAACAATTTTTCAAGAAAATAGGTTTCTCAAGTCCAATAATTGTTATTGTTCTATCTGGTATTAATGGGGGTTTCTTTCTTAACCTTTTGTTTGAAATCATGTGGAATATCAACATCTTGATTGTATCATTATTTTCTCTTTAAGTTTTTTTTTTTTCAACTCCAACCAAGGCAATAATGCTACTAAGACAGTGAGTTAGAGGGAGTGAAAAAGAATAAGTTGACTTTAGTGAGGAGAAGTGGAAAAAGCACAATAAAGGAACAGATTTCAAGAAAACAAAAGATGGTGGTTGATGTTGCAGTTAAATTTTTGAAAATTGTAAGTAGCAGGGAAGCAAGAAATTAGAAAGGAGTTCCACAGGTGAGAAGCATGAGAAAGAATCTATTTGAAGAGACAGTTGCATCTAACTAGTTCAGTTAGTAACTAATCTAGTAGCCATTGCATTTAAATTTTTGAAGATTGTATGTGGTAGGAAAGAAAAAAATCAAAATTGGATTTCTACAGGCAATAAAATAAACTGTTATAACAGAAGAAATAGTTGCATCTTGCTAGTTCAACAGTAAACCAGTGGGACCTAGTTGCCAATCTAGTAGCATGCTTAAATTCATGATCCTCAGAACAGTTGCCTTGAAGATATTTGTAGAAAATACAGAAGGGTGACATGTTGTTTAGTTGGTTTCAGATGCAGGGGATTAGAGGGAGTGAAAGAGAATGAGAAGACTTTAGAGAGAAGTAAAGAAAAGGGCAAAAAAGAAAGAGGATTCAGGAAGACAGGAGATGTCAACTACCACTGCATTTCAATTTTTGAAGATTGTACATAGTAGGGAATAAAGAAATCAAAAGTGGATTTCCACAGGTGAAACAATAAACTGTTAGAACAGAAGAGATGGTTGCATCTAGGTAGATCAGCAGTAAAACAGTGGGACCTAGTTGCCAATCTAGTAGCATGCTTAAAATCATGCAGTCAAGGCACCAAGGAAAACAAGCCCATCAGAACAGTTACCATGAAAATGTTTGTAGTAAAGACAGAAAGAAGGCCATGTCACATTGGTGAGAAGAGAACGTTACTGAATAGAATAATTGCACAAAGGTTGGTAATGAACAATAATACTTAAGACAAGAACAACACATATAAAGATTTGCCAGTGGTGTGTAGAAGTAGTAGTCAACTGCTAGAAGTGAGTCAAGTGAATTCCACAATGAATCTCCAACTGCAGACCAACATACAGTATTTACTACTGTATTTATGTGAATGGGGACATACCTATTATCGTCTGTAGGTATTCTACAACAATTAGTTTAATTAATAAATTTTATATGATCAGAAAAAACTTGTGCCATTGAACCACAATGGTATCATGCAAAAAGATCCTTCAGTATTTAATATTGGATTTACAGACTGTGTAATGGATAGCATCTCAGGAGGATAAATCAGAGAGTTTGAATTACATTTGTTTACTTGCAAATACCCTTGGGAAATGTATGATTCCATCTCCTCTCCCAGCCATGGGTTGAATAGCAGAACACACTGGGTCTTACAGTCATGGTTGGCAACGAGTCTACTGCAGAAAGAAACAACAGCCTACTGTGAGGAAAATCTGCCAAGTCAATCATGAATCGAAAGAGACATGATCACACAAGCATGTGTCATGTATGGCACTTGTCTGACTGAATATAAAACATATGCTACTAAGGCTTGCTATGTGTGACAGAATATGAGAAAAATGAACCATTATTAAGGAGACAGAAAACATTGAAAAGAACAAGAATTAAGAAGACAGAATATAATGATTGTTATTCCATTTAAGTTTTTGATGATGATTGACTTGACAAAAATCCAGAAGAGAGTTTCACAAGCAAGAAGTATAATAGAAGGAACTGTTAGCATAGAACTTACGGTACATCTGGCCATTTTAACTGTAAAATGATTAGACTTTGCTGCCAATTTAGTACTGCAATTAAATTCATAAAGTCTACATACCATACTGGAAAGTTCATCAGAACAATTATTCAGTCATGAATCAAAAGAGACAAGCCTGTATTTTTGACGAGTATTTCTTTCATCTTATTTCTTTTGCTTTATTTACACTAGTGATATCAGATGTAGTATTATTTGAATTTCTTAAAGTAGTGTCAATGCATGTTGTGGATAATGGCTTGGAATGAGATTTTGGAGATCCGAGTTCAAATTCCAGTCAGGTTTATTACATTCACTTACATGCAATTACCCTCAGGAAGTCTATGAATCCACCTCTTCTCATAACTATAGGTAAAATATCAGGACAAACTGGGCTCTCTAGGAGAAAGATAACTCTGAAATCAAATCCCTAAAAACCAAATCACAAGTTGCACCTTGGTAAGGCATAGCATCTGGAAGTCACCTCTACCAGGGTTATGATGATGACATCAGCAGGAAGATATTTGAGGTGGTCAGTGGCAGAATCTAACAAACAAGATTTGGCATTGAACAGTGATGATGCAAAATATCCTTCAAGCTGAACAATGGATGAGATCTAATTATTCTGAGTCAGACAAAAACTGCAGGAACACATAGAGTAGCATTTTGCCTCCAAATATATGCACAACCAAAAATTAAAATCCTTTTTTTGCTGTTTTTTTTTCTAATGTTTACCATATACAAGGCCAAGGTTACTGAAGGAAGTTGTTGTATGAGTGGCAAGAGTGAGAGATAAGAAACACAGTTTATGAGGCTATGTGAGAAAAATAACAGTATACTCTATATTTGAAGAGGGTAAAATTGTAGTCGTCAAAAAAGCATTCTCTTGGGAGTTATTTCCATAAAGTAGCAGTTCATGGGTAGAAGCAGTTCAAGTAGAACTTCCTTCTTACTAATGATTGGTTGGTTGTTTCTACATAGCAGCATATCAATCTGTATAGGTATTTAATGCCAAAATCTTCCCTCTTGATATCATCTCCAGGTTGCAAGATAAAGAACAGCTGGTGAAGGATCAGTTACAATGAATAGCCAGATCAAACTTCAATGTAATATATTTCTCACACTTCTTGGTACAGGTATTCCCAACTGTTATAAATTCAAGATTTTCTTTCTTCAAAACTAGGTATCATAAAAACTAAAACACACAGTCATATTTTTTTTACTAATGTTCACCTCATACAAGGCCAAAGAGCTACTTGAGGTAGAGGGTTACTGAAGGAGGTTGTTGTGTAAGAGATAAGAAACAGTTTGTGAGGCTATGTGGGAAAAATAACAGTTAACTCTGGATTTGAAGAG